AAAAATATATGTGCACAATATGAAGAGAAGGCAAATTTCTTCAATAACTTGTTATCCATGTTTACCTTTAAGAGAAGTTGAACCTTTTTTTCAAATTCATTAGCACAATTATTTAAAAGATATGGCCCTTCCTCAATCCAACATTGCTCTTCTCCACATTTTCTTAAATATTCAGGTTTAACAATACTACAATTACCAGCTACTGCACATAGGAAATTGTAATCCTTCTTGTCAAGCTTAGTTGCAACATAGTGAGTTGTAAAATTTGGAATGAATTCTTGGCAAATTTCGAAATTATTAAGTTTTCTAATATATTTACCAAATTCTTCTTCCAATTCATAATTTTCGAATAGTATTATTTTTTGAGATACTTGACTTGCCCAAGTATCTGCAGTCTTCAAAATCATATTTTGAATATCGGTCTTTTGTTCAAGACCTCCCAGCCACTGATTAACAACTTGATAGCTTTCATCATCCAAATTATTTTCAAACATATTCAAGCATTTCATAACCAAATTCTCAGAATCTAATTTGTGAGCCATGTCTAGCATTGGAATTACCAATTCATACTCAACAGTTGGCTCAATTTCATAAAACATCATTAAAATATTTCTCAATGCTCTGGTTTTGATTTGAGATTCAGGGTCTATCAGCATTTGTCTCTCCTCTTCGCTCATATCCTCAGTGTTGATATCCAATTCTCCTGTATCTTCGTCATTGAAGAGATTGATTTCATTTGAAGCAAAATGTCCAGTATAGAACGCCTCAAAAAAGGTGCTTTGTGCAATCAATACACTTCTGTGGCATTTGACTTTTTCCAATCCAAACTGGTCAATGACTATAGAAGTATCTGCTGATGATTCAGAGTTAAAAAGTTTACCCAAAACTGAACCAATTGGTGGTAGATAAGCTGGCGTTTGATTATTGAAAAATTGAGAATTACCAAATAGCTTTGGGGTAATTCCCTCTTGTTTTAGCTTCACAACGTATGCATCAGCATTTGGAGCAAAATCTTCACTAGCTGAAATTTGTACTGATGATTGAAAAATTAATGGAGCAGTGAATTCATTGTAGATAACACCCATTTTCTCTAATAAGTATATTAACTCAGCAACCATTGGTGATGTGTAACTTCTCAAGAATGAACAGTCTTGTGAAAAACAGTAATCAATCAAATCTTGAATAATGGTTGGCGATCTATCCGAAGTGAATAAATCACCTGTTCTAAGTAAATCATAAAATTGAGGATTTCTAATTTGAATGAATGGAAGGAATGCATAAACAGGTGAGGATCCAACATTAATTGTATCAGAAGGTAGTTTGAACTCTTTAGATTTTCCCAAAATCAATTCATGAATTGTTTTTTTACGTTGTGAAGTGCTGTTGCTCATATAAATGAGAATGTTTTCGCCAGAAGTAAAACAAACCCTCAATCTACTTGGATCTGAATTAATAGTTATTGTTCTGATTAATTTATCACCTTGGTAGACTTTAACTGAATTGGTAGCTTTATATTGAATGTGAAATAATTTAAAGTGTTGCTCGTTACAGTTCAAAATAATTTCTTGAGAGTTTTTCTCCACACATTGAAATGAACCTTCCTTGACAGAATGGACAACAAAAAAATTGTCTTGATTTGCTTTAGAGATTGTCTTAATCACCACATCAATTCTTTTCATGAATTTAGTTATGAAAATAATCCGTTCTGATAAACAATACACAGACTCAATACTGAAATGGTTAATAAATCAATTCAATAGCACAAACCTGTCAAATTCTTGCAATTTTGGAACAATTTTAGGATCTTTCACCAAAAAACTACCCAATCTTCCATAGCAAAGAAATGATCCATCATCCAACTCAAATAAAGAATATGTTTGGCCACAATGAATGTTAACAACTTTTTGATTTTCTTTGAAAATTTCAGTAATTCTTTGAGGAGTTGGAAGAAAAGCTGATTCCATAGGGAATGTCTGTTGTCCATAATAATTACTTTTCAAAATGACTTATGTTGTTAAATATTCAATTCTTACCTTCCACAACTGTAAACCTTATTAGTATTTGTCAAGAATAAAGTAAATGCCTCTCCACAAGCAATCTTCACAACTCTATCCTTATATTTGCTACTATTTACATTAATTCTATCGAAAAAGGTTATTGGTTGACAAGTAGACTCTTTAAATTTTGTACTACCTAATCCTAATTGTCCAAATCCATTTCCCTAAATCAATAATTAATATCAATAGATCATAAAACATACCCCCAATCCATACATTTGTGATTTGGTGGTGAGAAATAAATGATTGTCATTTCCAACAATATCTAAAATTGGCTCATTAATTTCCCTAGTATCAAACAACTTGCAATAACAAGGTGACATGGTACCAGAAAATTTGCACTCGTACAATTTTCCGTCATTATCAATGATCCAAACTAAATCTTGAGAAACGATTGCCTTCTTGATGTTATTCACCAAATCCTTCGGAACATTAAGATTGAAAAGCTTGTAATAATGATCATTTATTTGATCCAAACGAACAACAGCCATGTCTGTCTCTTTGTTGAGGGAGATTTGATGTTCACTCATTTTTTTTCAATGTTTAAATATGGTGATTATTAGATTATTTCCAGAAAATAATTTAGAATAAGTTTACAATTAATTTATTGAATATTTCTCTTTCTATTCTTCTTTTCTTCAGCCAAAGCTTTCTTTTCAGCTTCCTTTCTTTCCTTTTCTTGCAAATAAAGTTCCTTTCTGCCCAAATACCACTTGTGGTAATATGGAACCTTAATAATTTCATTGTAAAGAGAGGTACCCAACAACAAAACGACGAAACCACCAACTTGGAGCCAATGGAATTCTTCCCAACCAATAATAAGGGAAATAGCCCAAATGAAAATAGTACGACAAGAGTCAATAGTTGATCTAGTGGTAGAACTGATTCTCTTAGTGATAGAAACACCAAAGAAGTTGAAGAAAGCAATTGAGAAAATTGAACCCAAAGTAGAAACAGCAATCTTCCAATTATTCAAACATTGAGCAAATGCATAAACAGCATTTTCAGCACTTCCATAATCGCTACCTGGAATCCAATACAAGACAAACAAAACAATAGTTGTCATTGACAAACCCCAGTATCCTTCCCAACCAACAGCTTGCAATGGAGCAACATCATATCTACTGAAGAACTTTTCTTCAACAATGAATTGAGTAGCAGCCAAAATTTGAGCCAAAACAACGAAAAGATCACCCAACCAAGCATTTCTAGAAGCTCCAGAATCTTCAGCATACAAATATGAACTCAAACCGACAATAACACAACCAACAAGGATTAATAATAAACCAAACCAGTGGTGATAGTACAATCTAGCTTTAAGGAAAATTACTGAGAATAAACCAGTAAAAACGACCAAGATACCTCTCAACATTTGATAAACAGAAGCATCAGTATAGAAGAGACCAAAATCTGTTTGTGACATAATTGAATTTCATCATGCAAAATGAATTTCCAAAATACTTACTGAGCAAAGTTGAACCTCCCAAATCGCAACAAGCAGGAATCCAAAAGATGAGTGGATTTGTGAATGGCTTTGGTTTTGGTTTTTCGGAATCCATCAAAGAGTCTGATTCCTCTTCTTTAGCTTTTCCTCTACCACGGATTTTGTTATATAATAATTGAAGATTGTGTGGAATGAGACAGAGCAATTCACCCAAAAACATTGCTGCAGTTTGGAAACTATTGAAAACGAAAATTTCATCATAATTAGTAATATTAAAATCATCATATGAAAATTAATTAATTAATTAACAACAATAACAAAAATTAAACCTACAAGGCATGTTGGAAAGCGGTTGGTGGCCCATCACCAATACCCTTAGCATTACTAACATCCTGTAATTTAGTGGCTATTTAATAGAATCAACAAGAAGAATTTTACATAATAACAAGCGATATATAATTTGATCAACATTCCACAATGAATATTTCCTACGCATAAATTTCCTACATACCAATAGTGTTGACGGTACCGGTGATCAACATGGCCAAAGCCAGAAAAAGTGTGTAGAAATTTCCAACAGAACAGGCTCCCTTTGCCCATTCCTTGAGTTTGTCAGTTCGCTCACCCATTTTTTCAAAAATTCAAAAAATAAATATTTTCAAAAATCATGATGAAAAAAAGTTGAGAGAATGTGGTACTCAACAATTGCTATGGAAATAAAGAAAACAATTTTATTCACTTGATCCTAAATCCTCATCCTCACTCGAATCTGAATCACTCACTACAATGTTGCTATAATCTGTTGCATCTTTATCCAATCTTTCGATTAGTAATTTTCTAGTTTCTAAAGCTGAACTAAAGTATGTATACTTGTCTCGTTTTTCACTAAGATTAGTTGCTCTTATTACATGAACTTGTGTGAGCTCAGTTTGTTCTTCACTAACTCGATTCACAACGTAAACAAAATATTCTGGGTTCTCCAAAAAGGTATATTGCTTGTTAGAATCAAGTTGAAGACGAACAACCTTATGTACAAACAAAGATCTTTGAGATGTTTGCTTAACTTCTGAGTTGATCACCATATATTCTTGTTCTAATGGTTTTTGCAATTTGATATGTAGGAATGAACTATCTCTCTTGTTTTTAGCTGTTTGTTCATTCAGTATTTTTTCCTTTTCATCGAGTGATTTTCTATCCAAATAAGCAAGTTGTTCCTGTGAATAAATTACTTCTTCGTTTTCTTTAAAAAGTTTTCCTAATATGAAATGAATATTTGCTAGCACTTTTTCATATTTGTGGCTCAAAGGTCCACTATGTCTTGAATAAAAGGTATTTAAACCATCTTTGATACATAATGTCATTTTGTACAATGTAACATGCCCTGTTACAGTCCAATCTAACATGGATTCACTGTTAGGCATTATATATGGCCAAAGGAACTCCAGTTCTCCATCAGATACGACTTGAGAAATGAGATCCTTTTGAGAAAATTGTGATTCATTTTTGGATGAAATGAATGGGTTAAGCTTCCTGTATATACTCTTAATAGAAGTGGGTGTTTTTTTGGGTGATAATCTCAATTCACCACTATAACTTTGTGAATGTTTGCTTTTCACAAGTTTTGGAGGGAATATTCTTAAAGGAGAGTCAGAGCCCTCAAATGAAATCTTTGGAAATCTAACACTGCCCACCGAAAGAGTGTTATCTGCAATTGGAGAGGGTGGAGAGCTAGACAACACATTTGTACTACAAAATCTCTTATATACATGACTATGAATAAAATTTTGAGTGATACTTTTCTTCTTAGAGTTTGGAACGTGTTTGAGGAAATTTAAATTGAATTGTGTGAATTGTTCACGAACCCAATTTTCCTTTTTTCCTTTTTTAATTCCAGAAAGTACTTGTTTGATAAAATCTTTAAAATCTGATTTTGAAATTAATGAGATTTTTTGTCTTTTGTATTGTACTTTACCAGCAGCAATACTGGCATAGTAATCCCATCCATATTTAGAATTTTCTAGTAATGGATTAGTCATTCCACACACATAGACATGTTCACTCAATTTTTGATCTCCAATAGTCACATAGGGCGAAATCCTAAAATATAATTCGTTTCCACATTTAAAATAATCAAAAACTTACCTATTGGTTATTCCTTTAAGAGGAGAAATTAATAAAGGACAAGAGAGACAGCACATCGTCACAACTTTAGCTGGCGATCCTACAAATACAATTCTTCGCGAGAAGAGCAATGCTTCCCAAATATAACAAATGTGTTTTTCAAATATTGTTAAAAGGTCTATCAGAGAAGCACCATTAAAATTCTCTTCTTTACATCTAGTTCCTGTGTTAACAAGGAAATATTAAAATAAACTTACTTTGGTACTTTTAAATTATAAATCTTATCGGAGAAGGATATCGATAATTTTCTTGTTGCGTTCATTGAGGCAACATCTATAGATTCCTTTAAGCTATCATAAAGATCTTTTAACACTAGTGTAACTTGATCTCGGCAAACTTCCCTTACTTCCTTTTCAGATTTCTCTATGTGTGCTTCCTCAATACTTATAATTCTAATCAAATGATGAACATTGAACAATGTATGAATATACTAACCTATCAATTGCATCCCTCATAAGAGGAATAAAGAGAGTGAAGAGTGGCTTTGTTGTTACAACAAGAATACTCTTTTGAATTGCTCCTCTTCGCACTCTGTCATCAAGTTTGTTCCTGAAGAAAACACTTCCATATAAGTATTGTGAATTTTGAAAACCATTATCATTATTATTTGGTATATTAGATGATGGTGATGATGGTATTGGTTTGGGTGGTGTAGGTGAAGTTGTGAATTTAAAGGAAGAAATGTACTTGTGAAGCACTTGAATTAATTCTGTGTTATCCTCGGTTATTGGTAATATTATTCCGGTTTGATCTTCATGGTAAATATGAGCTCCATCAGGAATACATTTATCAGCAATATTACTGGTAGGGTAATACTTTTCCAAGTGAACATCTGTCGGGTATGTGTGAGTTAAACTATTTCCACTTAGTTTATCAAATTCCGCAATAGAAATACTCAACAAGTTAAAAGGATTGCCACTCATCGTCCACAATATTTACTATTTTACTATATATTTTACAAATGGTGTTGATGATGAAACTCTAGGATCAAACGTTGATCTTTTTATATTTTAATAATAATACAACTTGATGATGAAATCCAAAAGATTTCAAATGAAACTCTGGGTAACAATTTTCTCTTTAACCGAGGAAATAAAGAGTTTGATTACAGAGTTGAAATATTTTTTTCTGTGAGGAGATTTATGATGAGAGGGAAAAAGATCGGGTTTGTCTTTCACCTTTTTAGAAACAGGTTGGGGAATACAATGTTGAACGTCAACTCTCAACGGAAACAACTAACCTTGAAATGTTGTTGTGTCATGAATATTTCAGTAGCAATAAACTAAATATCATGGCCTCTTTGATCAAAATAATTTCAAAAGTTGCTGCTGTTGTTGGTTTTTACTGTGCAATCTACTACTGTTTTGAATGGAACTTGGCGCCCATGAAGTGCTACCTCCAATTGCATAAAAACGGCGGCAGTAAAATCAACGAAATCTATTTCCTTAATAGATACAGGCTTGGCTGTAAATAATATCTCTCTAAGCAATGTAAAAGCCGGAGGATGAGGTAAATTCGAAAGCTTGCTTAATTTTCGTTTCTAAAAGTTGATAATTGTTATAGTCAGGAAGGTCTAATATGAATGAGCAAATATGAGAAACAGGTAATGAATCAACTGAAGAGGAAGAGTATTGTACAGTGATGCTCAGAGCCTTGGATTGCCATCCGTAGGAAATTCCACATTGACCAGTGGAGAATTCAATAAATTGCCTTAACTGAATGCTAGAGAGTGAAGAAATAAATTGAGTGAAAAATAAAGGAGTCCTACTATTAGTAGGGAAATCTTTGAACTTCAATAGGTCAATCACTGATTTTACATCAATATAATCCTTTCCACAACAAAGCAGCATTAGCTCTTTCCAACTAAATAATGCCAGCTGAGGCTGAAGCTCAACAAGCGAATTAAAACCTTTCCTAATAGCTTTCAATTGTTCTAATCTTGAGAGTAAGAGAACATTTCTCATTTTCATTTTAACATAATCGTGCTTATTTTGATCATTTACCATTCTATTAGAGTCTTGTCCCAGGCCATCAAAAGAAATTTCCCATTCGTGCACTCCTTCATGAGTAAGGAGCATTCTCAAAGATCTTGCCATAGATTCATCAAATTGTTCCAAATCTCTGAAAGTTACTTGCAAAGAATTGTAATCAGGATCGCTTGATGAATATTTGTGTGAAAGAAACTTGAATATGAAAGGAGAAAGCACTTCTGGAATAACTCTTTGATCGTAAATTGTTTTGATTAAAATTTTTCCAATACTTTCACAAACCTCAACTGGTGCATCTGCCTTTGGTAGGTAACCTCCAGTTTTAGAGCTTGAACCACATTCAAAAATGTTATGATCATTTTGTATTGATTGTCTGAAGAACTCTGTATACATATTAGATGTAATTCCTCCCAAATCCATTCCAATTTCACCAACAAATTGCACTTGAAGTCTCAAAAGTAAGTCATTGATTTCCATAGATGAAAATGCTTGTAATGTGTGACCTACTATTGCATCTCTTCTCATACGTATTTGAATAACATCTGAAGTGTTCCTTTGCATTCTTTTCTTGTAGTGATGCAGAAATCTATTGAATGATTGCATCTTGTCTTCTGTACTAACTATTTGTTTTTGAGATACTAGTTCATTCATGATGGACGAGTTGAAATAGATATGAGAGTAAATATCTTCAGCACAAGGTCTATCTTTTGCGTCTCTTTGTAAAATATTTGATAAAAGATCTTGCAAATATTGATTTTCATGTTCTGGTATTCTTACTGAGTGTTCGTTTGGAAGAAGCAACACCTCATCATTTGGATAGTATGCCTTAAACATCATAACACCAAATGACCAAACATCTATTGATGTATTCAAAACACTCTTGAAATCTGCACCTGTAGAAGCTGCATGAACAACTTCTGGAGCCAAGTAAGTTAAAGTGGATCGGATTGCTAAAGAATTTTGTAAGGAATTCTTGTCAACTGATATATCAAAGTCAATAAGAATAGGTCTATATGATTCATATATCTCCTGTACGGATCCAATTGATTTAGAACCGATTGGTGACATTATTATATTCTCTGGTTTGATGTCACAGTGAATAATATTAAAGTCGTGCACATATTTCAAAGTTTGTGCCACAGAGTGAAATACATTTCGTTTTTCATATTCTGAAGGAGATTTAAGGAGCCAATCAGCTAGAGTTAAATCTCCTTTGTGTTCCATTTGAATAAATACAAAGTCATTCTCACAAAAGTACGCTTCTATCTTTACAATACAAGGATGATTCATTTTGTGTAAAATTTGAACCTCCTTCATAAACTCTTTTCTTGATTTGCTATCTGAAAAAGAGTACTGTTTGATTATTGATATTTGGTTAGCAAATTTTGCTTTGCAAACCCTTGGATTGATTATTTTCAATATTTCATAATCTTTGATAGATCTCTTCACCTCCAACTTTGTATCCTTAATTGATATAGGAATAAGATCATCATTCTTAGAGAAACTGTTAATGTAAATTAAAATTTCTGGATGCAATTTGATGGATTTTTCTAGATTAGATTCAAATAGCTGAATCTTTTCTTCGATTCTATGAACTACCTCAGATGCTTCTTGAACTTTTTGTGTTGAAATTTGTAGAATAGACTGAGAAACTCCATCCAACTCATGATTTTCTTTTTCAAATTTCAATTTTAGATGATTTCTTTTAGCCTCTCTCAAGTCTGTTTTCAAAGAGTTAAGCTGATTGTAAAATAGATTGACGCTTTCAAGGTCTGGTTTAAGTGGTAGTTGTGTTTTGGATTCCATTTCAATTTTACGTTTCAAATAGTAGCTATGTAACTCCTTGATATGAGTCTTTCTTTCACTTGGCTCAGCAGTTGTTTGTCGCTTTGCCTCCAAATATTCAGGAGTGTAGGTAATTATATACTCAAAATTATCCATCATTTTCTTCTCCTCCTCTTTAACCTCTTTCATAAGATTTAGCTCTTTTTCCATTGCTTCTAGAAACTTCTTGAAAACAGCCTTTGTTTCCTTGTATTGAATAATCAGTTTTGGACTGGATTTTTTAACCCACTCAAAGTATTCCTTTGATCTCCTATTAAACTCATACATATTGAAAGACTCACCAGAACCAGAAACTGATAAAACATCTTCTTCTAAAAGAATTTTTGAATGAATTTCATCTATTTTTTGAATCCTTTCTACGGGGATGTCATTTTTCATTGATTCCAATGTTTCACCCAACAAGTTAGTAACTTCGTTAAGATTATTCATACACTCATTTCTCATAGCATTTCTTGTATTAACAGCGTTTACAAGATGATTTGTAATTCCAGAAGAGCCATTTGATTGAATAAAGTTATTCAGATTTGTTTCAAATGATTCCAATTCGGCCATTTGCCTATTTATCAAATCAATTTTGAGAATTTCTTGTTGAGAAATTGATTCATTCTTCGATTCCACATCAGCAGACATGATCATTTCACACAACTCCAAGTTATTTTCTTTAAACAAATTTCTCGATTCAATAATTTCTTTCATCTTGGATTCCATTTGATTTAGTGTATTTTCATTTAAATTTTTAGAAACGTCGAAAAAGTTTCCCAATATCCCTCCTGTTCTTTTTGCTCTGATTTTCTTGTTGGTTTTTTGTTCGTTTTGTTCTCCTTCATTTTCAAATACATAATTATTTGTGCCAGTGGTTGTGGGTGATAAAATTAGAGGTGATGGAGAATGTGATTCGGAATTATTTTGTTGATGATTAGATGATGAGGTTGTTATAATTACAGGTTGTTGTGTGCTAGAACCTTTCGATGGTTTGACCTTGATTGGCTTTCGATTGGCTGGTTGCATTTTTTTGGCACTAAATGTAAATAACAAATTCTATTGATATTACAATACCTTTTTGAATTTTTACAAAATAGTTTGTTTTAAGTCTATTAAAAAGATAAATAATCAATCTCATGATGTTGTTGTTCAGAATAATTAATATTAATAGTATTAACTCTTATTCACTCCTCAGAATATGTCACCATACATCAAATATATTGATTTATTTTTGGCGCTAAAAGCAAATACATGTTTTGGCGCCATATTTTTGAACCAATCCTTAGTAAAAAATGGAACCATCACTACAAGACTATTCAACATCGCCCTCGCTGTCAACGCTGCAGCCACAACAAATTCCTTTGATATCATACATTGATGGAAAGTTTCAAGTGGATAAAAAAGCAATCTCTGTGATTTCGAAAATTAAAGAACCGGTTGCTGTACTTTCGATAGCTGGAGTTTATCGATCGGGGAAAAGCTTTTTACTTAATCAAATTTTAGATAGGAATGATGGGTATGTTTTTAAAAACCAATAATATTCATTAGTAAATAATAATACAGCTTTACTACCAGTCCCTCACATTTACCCTGCACAAAAGGATTATGGGTCTGGAGCGTTCCGATGAAAGTAAGCAATGACAACCATCCAGATTTTAGATTATTAATTGTTGATTCGGAGGGAATTGGATCCTTCAGTGCAAATGAGACCTATGATACACAAGTAAGTTGTTATTGGTTGTATTTCTTCAACAGTTTTAGGTGTTCTCTCTTGCTTTACTAATGAGTTCAATGTTTATTTATAATAGTCAAGGAAGCATTGATGACAACGCAATAACCAGATTAGGGTAAGTTGTTGGTTTGAACTAGTTTCTAAATCTATTAGGTTGGTAACTGAACTTTCAAAATATGTTAAATCAAAACTTGGAGGATTGGATAATCAAGCAATATTCCCATCTTTTTTATGGGTTGTGAGAGACTTTTCGTTGGATTTACAAATTACACCAAAGAATTATCTTGAATTTGCCTTATCCAGTGAGGAAAGATACACCGAAACTGAAAGGAATAAGCAACAAATTAAGGCCTCTCTGAAACAATATTTCCGAGATAGAGATTGTTTCACTCTGGTAAGACCTATTCACGATGAAAAGAAATTACAAAATGCCTCAAAATTGGAATCCTATGAAATAAGACCAGAGTTTAGGAATCAAATAGAAAAACTCAAACAAAAAATATTAGACACAGTTGCTCCTAAAGAACTGGGAGGAAGAATGTTGAATGGTAGGATGTTCATAAGTTTGTGTGAGAACTATTGTAATGCCATCAATGATGGCTCTATTATAGTGGATTCTTGTTGGAGTAATGTAGTGAAAACTGAATGTGATGCTGTTCATTCAGAATCTATCAAAATTTACAAAACAAAAATGCAAAAGCTGTTAAGACAGAACGTGGATCAAACAGAGTTGGAAAACATTCACTTCGAATCAGAATCAGAAGCAGTTTCTTATTTCTTGGAAAATTCAAAGCTTGTGGTAAGAGATGTTCAATTCCATGTTGGACAATTACATGATTCAATTGTTCAAATTTTTAAAATAGTGAGAGAGGAGGTTAGGAGTATAAATTATGAGTACAACAGCAAGATTCTGAGCTCTTCCTTTTCACAGATTTCAACATCTGGAAGTTTTCGAAATATTGAAGAAATGAATTTGAAATTTAGGGAGTGTTTGGATTCATATAACGAAAAAGCAAAAGGAGATAAAAACACATTGTTGGCGGATTTAATGACTAATTGGATTTATGAAACAATGCCTCACTATCACAACAATTTTATTGAATCACTAATAATGGAAAAGAATAAGGAAAATGAACAGATTATCAAAAATTATGAGGAGAGACTCCAGTCATTACAAGAGCAAATGAACTTTGAGATTGTGCAGCTGTCTGACTCAAAATCTAAAATGAAAGACCAAATGTTGAATTTAAGTAATGCAATCAAGAAACTCAAAAAAGATCTTACCTCCCAAGAAACTCTAACTAAAGAGCAGTCAGACAAAATAGTTGTTTACAAACAAGAAAACTCAAAATTGATGCAAGACGTTCAAAATCTCAGAAATGATTTGGAAAACTCATTCCAAGAGCTAAAAGAGCAGAAAGATAAGTTTGGAGATCAATTACACACTGAAAGATTGGAAAATGATGCACTTAAAGAAGAAAACACAAACCTGCAAAGAACAATAGCCATCTTACAAGAAAATAAGTCGGAATTGCAAAGAAATATTGGTGAATTACAAGAAGTTATTGCCAAATTAAAGGATAACTATAACAAAGTGAGATTACAAAATTCAAACACAGAAGAAACTCTTAAACAAACAACTGAGGTTTTGGAATCATCCACTGAAAGAAAACGACAGCTTGAGGATTCGATGAAAAAGCTTCAGGAACAAGTTTCATTTTTGAACACTGAGACGGAATCTCAAAAAGAAACAATTAGAAAATTAGAAAGAGAAATATCAACGAAGAATGCAAAGATAAAATCAAGCGAAAGAATGATGATGCTTGAAAAAGAAAAAGCTGCTGACAGTGAAGATAGGTTGCGACAAACTCTCAAAAATTCAGCCCAACTCTCCTCTTCAGAAAGAATTAAAGAGCTTGAAGAACAAGTAGAACATTTGAACACTACCAACAGAAGAATTCTTGAGATTAACAAAACTGTTATGGAAGAAAATAAGTCCTTGAAAGATAAAGTAAGGGAGAAAAAAATAGAATCTAGAACCTCGACTATTGACAGTTTCAAATCAACACCAGAAAAGTTAACGATTTGCACTTCCAATCCATCAACTCCAAATATTGAAACCAACACGAATACCCCTTTGCTTTCATCTGGAAGTAGTGTAATTAAAGATAAGGTTCAGCCAGTACAACCACCTACCACAAGTCAACAAACCAAAACTCCTGACATGGAAAAGAAGGCTTACGAAACACCAAGATCTATTAGTGATATCAGTCCAATATCTGTCTTTAATCCAAACGCTGATTCTGATGATAGTGTTGACACTAGCACAAGTAGTAATGATCCTGCCGCAGAAAAAATCGAAGGTAAAAAGATAAGAAAAACAGTCAAGAGAAGAAATAGTCCTATTAAGCAAACAAGAACTCCAGTTGCAACAAGTGAGAATCTTAGTGATTCAGCCAACATGAGAAGACTGACAAGAAGACAATCATTTGGTGGATCTCCAAAGAAAATTATTGACACAGATTAATCAATCTTTACTTTGATACCTGACAAAACGAAACCGCTTGCACTAGACGTTGTCATCATTGGGTGAGTCCTCTTTGGAAGAACTTGGTATTCTCTCATCCATGTTTCTGTCAATTGAACCAAAACAGCTGACTTGTCATCCTTTAATTTGTTGTGACATTCTTCTAATGGTTCTCTGTATGAAGAATAAATAGCAAATGATCCTGATTCTCTAAGATAAGGATACAAGTTTGTAAGAACTGAGATTGGACTATATTGATTAGTAGCAATCAATAAACAATCAACCATATTTTCATCAGTAGCATTTTCATCAGACATATCACCAGATACAAGTTTTCCAAATGGAACATCTCTAACAACACTAGAAGCTAAATTTCTGTTAATATTCAAATAGGTAACAGCATGAACATGTTTACCAAGCATATCATCTGGAGCTACACGAATAATTTCACCATAACATCCCATTCTTTCAAAAACAGCAGCAGTAACTAAACCCATACAAGTTTCCATTACCATTACTTTTCTATTTGGATAAATAGAACCTAAAGTTAATAATTGAGCAAGTCCATCAACTCTCATATGACTAATTTTCTCAGGATTCTTTGAAAAGTAAAAATCACAAATATCATATGCAGAAGGATCAATAACTTTAAAGTAAGTTAAATATTTCTTCTTCTTTCTCTTCAAGTATTTTTGTTGGGAAAATTGAGTTCTAACTTGGAAAGATTTACTTCCTTCAATTAATTTGCTGATAATTTCCTTTCCTTCAACTCCTTGTTTTTTTAATTCTAAAATTTCATCTTGAGTTAAAGTTTGTGATTTGTTATTATCAATTAATCTCTTTGTATTAGCATCAACAGTTTCACCTTCTTCATCTTGCATTTCTTCTTGTGGTGCTTCATCATCACCAGGAATAACAGCAGAAGCTTCCTCACTATCAGGATCATACAACATACGTTTTAAAACTACTGATGGTTGCTTCTCTCCTTCATTTTGTGATGACAAAATTTCATAGAAGGCATAATATGGTTGTCCTATTAAAAGTTTTAAAGGAAAAGTTTGTTTCTTTCCGATTTTTAAATTTGTTTCTGGTTTAATATGTTGTTGTAAAATCATTGAACCACTATTTAATTTTACTAGAATTGTATCTCCTTCTTTAATTAATGGGATTCCACTTTCAACAACAGCAAGTTGTTGTGGGACTTGTTCACTTGTTGATGTCATTTTTTTCAAAAAAGAAAAATTGGTGCAACAATAAAATGTAACTGAACAGTTGTTGATATCTATTAATTATGAACTTTTCAAAAATGTTTATTCATCTTCTTCATCCTCTTCCTCTTCTTCAGGTTGTTGATCACTTAACTGATTTACCATTTGAGCATATTGCATATTCTGATTGATAGTTTGTTGTTGTATTTGTTGCATTTGTTGAATATGTTGTAATTGTTGTTCTAGGGCTGAGGTAAGTGGAATCTTAGCTTCTCCCAAAAGATTCATAAAATGTTCAATAGATATTACATTCAAACTGGTCAATCTTAAGAATTGATGGGCAAGAATTTCTTTCATTTCATCAGCATCCAACTTGGATCTTTCATTAATGTAAAGATTACGGCAAGCATCATGAGCTTCGTTTTCTGTCATTAATAATTTGAAATTTTCCAATAGATAACTATTCCAAACATCCATAAATTGTTTTTGAATATGAGTAAGTTGATTGACATCCATTGTTGATGGATCCAAAAGCATCAATCTCTTTCTGTCCATGTATTGATAATTTTGATACCAGTGCTTGTATTGATTCATGCTGATAATGTATGATCCAGTTTCTCCTTCACCTTCTCTACCTTCAAATTGAATCTCAAATCTATCACCATGTTTTTCTGTAAGATGTTTCTTGAGTTGAGCGAAGGTATCTTCATCTGTGTTTGTTCCCATAATCATCATATTGTTGACTTCAAAATCATCTTCTAATGGACAATTCATATCCCAGCGTAGCCAAAGTCTTTCTACACCTCTGTTATGAGTATTTATGTAGTTGACCTTATACACCATATAGTGAAGTTGGAGAATATCATCTTTTTGATCCAGAGTTTCACTACCTAGTATTAATGGATTAATTTGAGTATTAGAGGTGGAAGCAAGATTGGATTGATTGGAAACTTCTCTATAGTGAACCTTAGAAAGTTCAAGAGGATAATCACTCAACTTATCTGTTGAGTCAGAGAATTTAACATTGATGGTCAGTGGAGATTGAAGTAAAATTCCAGTTGCTGTTCTTAATTGGACAGGATATTGCCCAGAGAAGAAACCAACAAAGGCATGGGAGGAGAAAACGGTTGCTCCATAATTGTGCTTATCCCAGTAAAGAGGGATGGTTTGACTACTAGGATCATCATCAAGAGATTGAACTAAAGCAGCTTGTCTAAGAGCAACACAAAGGAAAAGAGAATTCTTAGTATTTCTTCTCAGTCTACACTTTGAGAAGAAAGAAACCAAATTAGTTGGGAAGCTAACATCCAATTGACCAAATTGTTCATTTTCTACCATGGTTCTATAAGATGAAAGACAAATATTTCTTTCATTGGTACCGAAATATAAACCAAGAAGGCAATCAACTTTGAGTGGGTGGTTTGGAATAGGTTGGAAATTACGGAAAATATCAGCACTCTTAATACTAATTGAAACATATTTCTCTTGAGGATTAGTTTCATAGATGTGATTCATGACATCATCCACATTAATATATTTAGCATTTCTATTTTTCTTTGGAACTTTTCTTGAAAGATAAACCTTAGGTCTCTTCTTTTCTCCAAAAAGTGCTGTTTCAGTATGTTCAATACTTGAAGCAGCTCCTAAAATAGGGTCAATGGATACATCTGATTCTTGTTTAACACTAACTGTTTCAGAAGAGAAAATAACGCTGACATTTCCCTTTCTTGGATTTGCACTCTTTCTTCTACTATAATTCTTTCCTCTAGTACTTGAATCATCTTCAAGTTTCTTCCTCTTTGCACTTTCTTCCTCTTCAGGTTCACTTTCTTCTTCACCCTTTTTCTTTTTCTTCTTCTTAGTGGTTGTTGCCTTTTTCTTACTCTTCTTTTTCTTGCCATCTTCACCTTCTACAGCATCTTCAGAAGCAGCTTCCTTCTTCTTTTTTGACTTGGTTGGTGTTGGAGTTGTTGCACTACTACTTCCTGTAGTTGTTCCACCTGTTGCAGATGCAGC